CTGTATATTCCGCCCATGATGGCCTCAGGGAAGCCCATCCCTGATCCTACTTGTGTTTTCCGGAAGCAGGCTGGCGAGCAGCAGGATGAGGAAGGCAGAGAAAGGGAGACTCCATTTCCCACCGCCACCTTCCCCATTCCACCAGGAAGCTGGTAATGGCCGAGAACTGCTTCAAGGAGGCCAGAATGTCAGGGGCTGTGCATCAGACAGGGATCACCGTCTCCACTGGGCAGGCTCGGTCTCTACAGAGGGTCTGGTCACAAGATGGAAAGTCTTTCTGGCCATGGGGACCAGTCCCATGTTCTGCAGGGCTTTCATGGGCAGTGACCCACCCATTCTTGTGGTTAAATGTGCTTAGGGTGATTTTCCAGTTCTCCGAGTCCCATTTCTTCTGCTTACCGAAGGAAGTTAGATGCCTCCAAAACTCAGGATTTTAGGATGTCCCGGGTCTCACTGACTGCCTCCCTAGGGAACTCCAGGACTGTGGGAGGTGGGGAGGGTGGGGGTTGAGGGGCAATGTGGTGTGTTCACCGGCCTAGGTATGGATGGGGAAGAGCAGCGTGGCAAATGCTATCAGTTGATCACCCCAAATCTATTTGCCTCTCCCTAACAGCTCTTGTTTGAGGCAGTGATGTATCTGGCCCCCAAGTATTGGGTCGGCAGCTAAGTAATTGCGGGTTTCACACATATATGGCTTCAGTTGAATTTTTAAGTTTGCAGACGTAGTACAAATGTAAAACACATTTTGTTATTTGATAGTTGGCTATTCAGCTGTTAATCAGTAAAAAAAGTTTTTTGATCTGTTTTGTAGTTTTTGTTTGGCGTTCGTTGAAAAATGGAAAATCAAAAGGAACATTTTTGTCATATTTTGCTTTTTTATTTCCACAAAGGGAAAAACGTATCCCAAGCTCATAAAAAGTTATGTGTTATTTATGGTGACGAAGCCTTAAAAGAACGGCAGTGTCAAAATTGGTTTGCCAAATTTCGTTCTGGTGATTTTTCACTCAAAGATGAAAAACGCTCTGGTCGTCCAGTTGAAGTTGATGACGCCCTAATCAAAGCAATAATCAATTCGGACTGTCACAGTACAACACGTGAGATTGCAGAGAAGCTTCATGTATCACATACATGCATTGAAAATCACTTAAAACAACTTGGCTATGTTCAAAAACTCGATACATGGGTTCCTCACGAACTGAAAGAATCACAGTTAACGCAACGCATTAGCAGCTGCGATTTGCTAAAGAAACATAATGAAAATGATTCATTTTTAAAACGACTGATAACTGGCGATGAAAAATGGGTTGTTTACAACAATATCGAGCGGAAAAGATCATGGAGCAGGCCAGGTTAACCAACTCAAACAACATCAAAAGCTGATATTCATCAAAAGAAGGTTTTGTTATCAGTTTGGTGGGATTACAAAGGAATTGTCTACTTTGAACTCTTACCACCCAACCAAACGATCAATTCTGATGTCTACATTGAACAACTAATGAAATTAAACAATGCAGTTAAAGAAAAGTGGCCCGAATTGACAAATCGAAAAGGTGTTGTATTCCATCGTGACAATGCAAGGCCACACACATCTTTGGTCACTCGGCAAAAATTAATGGAGCTTGGTTGGGATGTTTTGCCACATCCACCATATAGTCCTGACCTTGCACCATCTGATTACTTTTTGTTTCGATCTTTACAAAACTCCTTGAATGGTAAAAATTTCAATAATGATGATGATGTCAAATCGTACCTGATTCAGTTTTTTGCTAATAAAAACCAGAAGTTTTTTGAACGTGGGATTATGATGCTGCCTGAAAGATGGCAAAAGGTCATTGATCAAAATGGGCAATACATTACAGAATAAAGTTATTTAGTTCCATAAAAAAATTGTCTTTGATTTGCTTTAAAAAATCCGCAATTACTTAGTTGCCGACCCAATAATAAGCCCATCCTGAAAACTTGTCTCTCACTTTCCCAGCCTCCCTTGCAGCTAGAGTGCCATGTGGACCTCTTCTGGCCAATGAGGATAAGCAGAACTCCAGGGAGTAGGTCTGGAAAGCCTTTCTGTTTCCTGATAAAGGGGTGGAATGGCATGCATAGCTCTGTCATTTCCTGACGTGATGCTGACATGGCTGGGGCTATAGCAGCTGGCTTGCAACCATGAGGGAAAGAGCAAGAAGCATTAGCTCTCGCTTCACTGAACACAAAAAACGACATTTGTAATTCTCTCCAGAGATCTGATCTGTGAGAAAAGTACAATATGATTTATTTATGACTCCATAGTTAAGTTTCTGATACTTGCAAACACATCTCTAAATGCCACTGGAGTAACGACCAAGATGATTCACCCTGAAGCTATGTGCATTAAATTATATTCTTCCCTGCCCACTTCGGTTAATGACATGTGTCCTGTGAAGGTACCTCTGCTTGGCCCACTGGGTATTAGTGGTGACACTGGGCAGCCGTGGGCCGAGGATGCCCGTTGGGTGCCCAGAGCCAGCTCTATTTCCTAGGCCTCCCAGAATGTGGTTTCCTAGGATTGGCCCAATGCCACCATCCTCCCAGAGACACTTCAGATAAAGAGCCCAGCCAGGCCCTGCTCTGACCCCACAGCCCACCGTGCCAGCATCAAAGAGGGGAGGGATCCTAACAGAGACCCCTATTGGGGGCAGAGGGTCTGAGGCCTCATTTGTAATCAGGGTCCCCAGGGTGGACCAATGACAAAAATGTTCCTGTAGCCACACTCTGTGCAATGTGACATTACAGCTCATCCCTTCAAAAGATAGCGTATTTCCCCACATCTTGAATCTGGGCTGGCCTTGTAACTCGCTTTGGCCAACAGAATGTGGCCAAAGTGACCCTGTCCCAGTCCCAGGCCTGGGCCTCCGCAGGCTCTGCTGTCCCTGTTGGACTCTGTGACAAGCACGGGCCAGCCTCCTGGCAGAGGACAGAGAGGTAGCCCAGTTGCCCTGCCACCCCAGCTGACAGGCAACTGACCCCCAGAAGCACAGCCATCGGACCACACTCAGTTGCCCACCACGTGTGGGAGCACAGCTGAGGGCCACGAATCGCCCAGCTAAGCCCGGTCTAAGCTGCCAACCTCAGAGTTAGAGAGAGATCAGTGGCTGTTTCATGTCCCTCTATTTGACTCGGCTTGTAAGGCAGAACTATTATTATTGTGGTGAAAGACCGCTGATACAATCCTCCTCCTCAAGGTTTACCAAGCATTCCACTGACATGAACTAATTCACCGCCTATGAAGGAGATACCATCTCCCTTCTGCAGACGACAGAACCGATACTCCGAGAGGTTCTGACATGCTTGAGATCAAGCGGCCAGCTCACAGGTCTCCACTCTCAAATTGCAAACTGCTCCAGTCCCAGCCCATGGCCCCTAGGCCGCCTCACCATCCAGCCCTGCCTGCCCCACCTCCTTCTCCTACCTTGCAAACCTTGGGCAGCAGCCCTGCCCATTCAAGCAATGGGCCAGCCAATGAACATCAGCCCCTTCCAACCCTCACGGGTTACTATGACGATGGCGCATCACACCAACATGACGTGAGGGAAGAGGCCAGAGGGCCCCTTTTCCTACCTGGCACAGAGGTGCCACCACATGGGTTAGTGTGGCCCCACAGGCACACAGCTTGGCAAGCGGTATGGGGGCTGGCCAGGCCCGAGGTACAGGCTCAGCTGGTACCTTCCCATGGAGCCGTGTGAGCAAAGACGGTGAAACAGGCTTCCCCTACATACTCATAAGCTGACCAACAACAGGTCCCACGAGGGTGCGGTCAGGATTCACGCAAGTACGGCGCCCCATTCCCTCCCAGCGTGTTCCCCTCACACAGGAGGCGCAGTTGTGTCCCTCCACCCCGTCCCCCACCCCCGGTCCCATGGCCGCCCCGTCACTCACCGACAGCGGAGGGGTGCCCTCGTCCTCCACGGTGACCACCAGGTGGTAGAAGCTCTGCTGCTCGCGGTCGGGCGGGGCGGGCCGCGTGGAGATCTCCCCGCTGATGCGGTCCATGCGGAAGGTCATGTCGTCGTTGCCCGCGGTGATGTAGTAGGACAGCACGCTGTTGATGCCGATGTCACGGTCGGTCGCTCTCACCTGGACCACGGAGGTGCCCCCGCCCACGTTCTGGGGAGAGAACAGGAAACGGGTCACTCTGGCGTCCAGGGGGCAAAGTCCGGCACCCGGTCTGGGGAGCCCGGGGCCTCCCTGGACCTCCGGAAAGCTTTGCTGCAAATGCTGGAGCCACGACGAGGAGGATGAAGATGATGGTGGCGAGCATTCTATGGGTACCTACTCACACCGGTCCGTGTTAACGCAATAACTTCTCCCGCAACCCTAAGTGTCAAGTCCTGATGTCGCTCCCACTTACAGATGAGAAAACTGGGGTGCAGGCAAGGAATGTGTGCACATCACATGGCTTCAGTGGCAGAGCCAGGTCTGAATTGCGGAGGCTGGTCTGAGAGTGGGCCTCGAAACCCCTATGCCATCCTGCCTTCAGGAACGTCCAGCCTGGTGTGATGCCCAGCAATGCCAGGGCAGACGTTCTCCTGGAGGGGCTCAGTCATAGGACTGAGTAGCCAGTGAGCTGTTTATTTTAAAGCAGCTCTCGCGGGGTACACCTCCACTCCCATGGGTGGTAGAAGGCCACCTCTTCTCTTCCTCTCCCCTCCTCCTTCCACAAAGACACTGCACTCAGGACCTGGCCTCGGCGTTAGGGCTGGAGTTATGAATAGGCCACTGCCCTCATCCCCGAGACCTGAGAGACTAGTGGGCCAGGCAGACAGTGAGGCAGGTGGTTGGCAGCTGGCTCATGCCCACTGTCCACCCCAGATGTCCGTCTGTCCGGGTGCTGGCGTGCCCTCACCTCGTTCACGCTGACGTTATATCCAAAGGGGCTCTCGATCACGGGGGGGTTGTCATTGACGTCCAGGATGGTCACCTGCAGGATGTGGTCCTTCTTCCGTGGAGGGGTGCCCCGGTCAGATGCCACCACCTGGGAGGAAGGGGTGAGGGGTCAGGGCTAAAGGGCGGGTTAGGGCCAGGAACATGGAGTCCTATCTTCTCAGTGGGGAGGTTGGAAGGATAAACAGACTCACTGGCCCATCCCTGCCCCCGGGGCGGGGGCGCCAGCTCTGGGGTCTCCCTAAGTCCTTGCCTTCTGCCCCGGCTGCAAACAATGCTCACCCACTTCTTGTCTGCCCTGGGACCCTCATTTGCAATCTGACTTGGGTGTGCCTAGTCTTCACGTCCCAATCTTACCCATGATTGTATTCTGGGCTGTGCCAGCCCCTGACCATGACCCCAGGCCTGTGACTGGACCCAGGATTCCTGCCATTAGCTTCACAGGCCCCTGTTCCATGCACTTAGGTCTGGACTCCGGCAAACAGAGCCTCAAATGATCACCGAGCAGCCCACACACAGACTGAGCCCGTCCTGGGAGCCGAGATGCTCCCTGGGTGCCCCGTGGAGGTGCCCCAGGGGCTCGGGCTCCTGCAGAAGCACAGCCCTGGCCCCAGAGATCCCCTCAGAGACATGCCAGCCCAGCAATCCAGCCCTAACGGTGGCCTTCGGGACTCCTCACCTCAGCAGAGGCAGGCCAGGCAGGGCTTTTCCTGCCCATTGCACAAGGGGAAACTGAGGCCCAGACAGTAAACCACTTGCCTGAGTTTCGCACTGCATTTGTGGAAGAGTCGGGGCTCTGCCAGGCTCTCTCCTCCGGCTCTCACGGCAGGGACAAGCACCTCTGCTGGACCTGCTCTGGCTCCTGAGCCCCTCCCAGATGCCCTCTCTGGGTTGGCCTCACTCATGCTCTTGGCCCTGAGGTGCCCCCTGTCCCCTGGACTTGATGACAGCAGGAGAGCTGACTACCAGGATGTGAAGGGCCAGGTGGTCAACAGCGCCCTGGAGGGGGCGGGTCCCCACCTTGAGGATATAGTGGTCCAGCTCTTCTCTGTCCAGGGGCCTCGCCACGAACACTTCGCCGATGGAGTCATTGGTGGTGATGATCTCGAAGGCCCCAGCGATGTTGCCCGAGGCCAGAGAGAAGACCACCTGTGAGGGAGGAGAGAGGCTCGAGGTGAGGAAGCGAGTCCCTGCTTCCTGCTCAGGGATGGGGTGGCTTGGAGGGTGTATGGGAACCCCCGGCTGAGAGAGCTGACCCGGGCTATTTCGCTCCATGCCCACCTGCCCGTTGCTGCCGGCATCAGGGTCCGAGGCCTTGACAGTGGCCACACGCTGGCCCACGGGGCAGTCCTCGGGCACGCTGACCGCCGAGTCAGAGGTGACGTCAAACCGAGGGCTGTTGTCGTTCTCATCCAGCACGGTGATGTAGACCTGGGGGCGGACGTTACTAGAGACCTATCGCCTCCATCATCTCCCAGCCCCACACACCAGGGGCCCACCGTGGGCCACGGGGGACCAGACCTCCGCTCGGCCTGGCACGTCAGCTGGCTTTCAGAGCCCGCCCAGGCCGCTCCTGACTGCCCACGAAGGCCCTGAGCACCCTTTCCCTAGGAGTCTGGTGCGGGAGGGCGGCTCATCCCAAGTGCTGAGGCTGGGACGGCAGGGAAGGGGCTGGGAGATCTGGAAGGGAGGACGGGGCTACTCAGCCCCAAACCACCAGGGAGTGGCAGGCTGGCCCTGGCACCGCTTCCTGTTTTCCAAGAGGAACTCGGCATGCAGATTTTGTGTGTGGAATGCGGTGGGGTAATTAATAAAAAGGAAAGGAAAAACGATGTGCAGGCTGACTACAACACATCTGGCAGCCAGAGACGGCCTGAAGGCCTCTTCGTCAGCACATCTGGATCAGAGGGAGAGAAACGGGGCTCAGAAGGAGGGGGGCTGAAGGTGGCGTGGTGGTCCCTGTGGGAAGGGGTCGAGGGGGGCGGGGGGAAAGGAATTTCCAATAACGAGATAAAGCCAGGAGCACACACACGGAAGGGAGCAGCTTGTCCACAGCTCAGTGTCCTGCAGGGTTGGGACAGCGAGCTGGAGGGCAGGCCCCGCTGTGGGTGCAGCCTGCAGCCCAGGGAAGGCCAATGCCAGGGGCCAGGAGGCGGGCACCACAGGTGCCCCTTAGGGTCACTGATGGGGGGATTGAGGTAGGGCAGGAGGAGGCTAAGACTTTAACAACCCCAGACCAGGCCTCCTCCCCAGGTCAGATTCCCAGTCCTGGGGTTCTGGGCTCCCAGGCCTGCCAGCCTGGCCCCCCCCCCCCCACTTAGGAACCCCACAGGGAGCCTGTAGCACCTCACACCCTTCTGAGGAGAGACATTTCATCAGGTTTGTCCTCGGTCCTAGCCACTCTCCCCTATCTGTAGACAGCTTTTAAAACCACAAGGCAGACCTAGCCGGTTTGGCTCAGAGGAGAGAGCATCGGCTTATGAATGAAGGGTCCTGGGTTCGATTCTAGTCAAGGGCACATGCCCGGGTTGCAGGCTCAATCCCTGGTATGGGGCATGCAGGAGGCAGCTGATCAATGATTCTTTCTCATTGATGTTTCTATCTCTCCCTCCCTCTCCCTTCCTCTCTGAAATCAATAAAAATATATTTAAAAAATAAACAAAGGTATAAGGCATTCTGGTGGTGTGGCTGTTGGCTGGTGTCCTCCCATGCACCGAAAGGTCGCCAGTTCGATTCCCTATCAGGGCATATTGCCCCGGTTGTAGGCTCCATCCCTGGAGGGGGCATGCAGGAGGCAGCTGATCGGATGTTTCACTCTCACATTTTATCCTCTCTCCCTTCCCCTTCCTTTCTCTCTAAAAATCCATTTTTAAAAATCTTTAAAAAACCCCAAAAACCAACAACCAAAAAGAGCCAACAAAAAACCCAGCCAAAAACCACACGGCAACAAGCCCAGGCTTCACGGCAGGACCTACGCCACCACTTCCACTCACCAGCTGTGCAACTTTGGAAAAAGTTATTGAGCCTCTCTGATTTTCCACTCTCTCAGCTGAAAATAAGAACGAGAACACCCACCGCATGAGGATGCTGGGGGGAAGAAGTGAGCAAGCAAAAAGGTAAGGATGGTCCCTGCCCTGCCTCCTGCCTGGCAGATGGGCATGCTTTCACTCTCCAAGACTCTGCCCAACCATCACGGATGTTGGTCAGGAAGTTCCATCAAGTCCTGGAGCCCCCGTGTGCTCACCTGTGAAACAGGCATAACTATGCCCAACGCACTCTTCTCAGGGCACACACAAGCAAGGCCCCTGTGCTCTGACCCACCCCACACCCTCCCACTTGGGTCCACGCCTTGTGCGGGTTCCCCATGCTTTCTCCCACTGCAGGGCCTTTCCCAGGCTGCTTCCTCTGCCTGAAACGGTCTTATTCCTATGCTTTCTGGGAACCTCAGCTTTGGGTCACTTCCTCAGGGAAGCCCTCCTGGATTTCCCCGACATTGTATTATCAGGGGTCTCACGTGTCATACATTTATTGGTGTGATACTTTGGTCTGTGTCCCTTCCCCATTGTATCTTATGCTTGTGAAGGTAGGAACTATGACTGATTTTGGTTTCCTGTTGTACCCTGAGCCCATCCAAGAGCCTGGCCCACAGTCAGTGCTCCCCTGATTACTGCTCTGATGATCAGCATCAGGGAGTTGGCCTCAGAGGAGGAAGGGCAGGTGTCAAGGTCCATGGGAATTAATGTGGGTCTGTGTCTCCAAACCTCCCTATCCCATCCCCTGGAGCCTGAGGGTATTACACTCAGAAACTCTCACAGCAGAGACCCTGCCCCTGGTCTGCCCTTCCTGCGGCCTCCACCCCTCCTCCTGGGGCCTATGGGAGCTACTGGGGCTCCCCACCCCTCCAGGGGCCTATAAGGGTTACTGGGGCCCGGGAAAAGTCAGGTGTAGGTGAGTTGTGTTTGGGGTTCTGGCCTCATGGAGAAAACGGTAGCACCCCTAAAAGGCCCCTCAGCCTGCCTCCACCCTCTGGGGCTACCAGGGCTGGCGTATCTGGGGCAGTGGTCCTGGGAGCCTCTGAGAAGCCAGCGCAGAGCAAAGGGGTGCGGGTCTTGCCTGGAAGAGGGTGAAGTGGCTGAGGAAGTACAGTGGCCTGCACAGAAATGTGTGCCCTGAATGGCCCTTGCCAGCCGTGCAAGGAAGTGGGGGGCTGGTCCTGGAAGGGCCTTTAGCAGCCTTGGGGAGCATCCCAGCTCCTGCCAGTCTCCACCTGTCCTCGGCCCCTGGCCTTTTCATGGCAGCGAGGGTGAGGAACAACCGGCCCATTGTACAGATGAGGCTGCTGAGGCCCGGGGAAAGGGCCCCACGTAACCATCTGAGCCTTAGCTCCTGTGGCTGGGAGGGCAGGAGCTGCTGGACACAGGGCACCTGCCCGCTGCCCTCTGCCCACTGCCCACTACCGAGGACTCAGCTCAATGGCTGCCCTCTGGGACCGTGGGGGCTGCAGGGAGTTGTGTAAATGCAGTGCTGCTTATGGTCTCACTCACCCCCAGGCTGGGCCCATGAATGGAGGGGGCTTTGGGACATGATTAAGCCACCACTGGGGCCCCTGGAGCCGGGCCTCTCAGGGAGCTGTGGGGTGGAGGACCTAAGCAGCTGCATTTGGCTCCCTGCAAAGACTTGGTTGCATCCTTTAGGCCACATGTGTCAAACACAAGGCCCGCGGGCCAAATCCGTCCCGCCAGGCCTTGCAATGTGGCCCGCACCGCGCTGTCATCACTGCACTCCACTGCGTTTCCATCACAATGACAGTTTATGACTGTTCAGTAAACCATTCGGCCCGCGATTTAGGCTGGATTTTAGATTTTGGCCCCTTCTCTGATTGAGTTCGACACCCCTACTTTAGGCGGATGTGACGGGGACTCAGTGGGGGAGAAAATGTGGTCATAACGAGGTTGATGCAGAGCTGGACATCCCCGTGTCTCCAGGCGGCCTGGACCAGCCTGGCTGGTGCACAGCCATGATGCCTGCGTGCTCTCATTCTCACTGCAAGATGCCACTTCAGGGGACCCCTCCCCTGGGACCCACCCCAGCCTGAGGTCACCCACCTGCCTCTCCCACTTCTCCCACTTCCTAGGAACCTCTGACTCAGGGGTCACTCTCCCCGAAGAGGGCCCAGCACATGGTCTCCCTGCCTTTCCTGAGGGTCCCTGAGCCAGTGACACACGCTGCCCTTGCCGGCACCCCTGGCCCTGGCGCTGTGCCCTCCACTCACATGCACTGCCGTATAACACACTTCTTACACCGACCCCGAGTCAGGGAAGGGGTAGGGTCCCCTTTACAGAAGCCACTTCCATCATGCCTCTCTGCAAGATTAGTTTACAAAGGTTTCCTATCCGCCAGCTCCTCTACCATCTCCCTCACATCCTCTGAAGAAGGCAGGGCTGCTGGCCTGACCCTCATTCTAGACCTGAGGAAAGGAAGCACAGAGAGGCTGAACAACTGGCCTGTGTCACACAGCTGGGCTGGGGCCTCAGTGTTCCTTTCATTGTGTGTTCCACCCACTCCTTGTGAGTGGGCCCTCCACCCCAGGGTCCCATGGAGACTCAGTAGGACGTGGAGGGCAGAGAGGGCAGAGCAGGAAACTGGGTATGGGGTGGATGAATTGGGACGGCCGTGAAGGGCCTGAACAGGGACCTCTCCCCAGGGAGGCAGGAAGGCCCAGCACCGCTCAGGGCCTGAGCCAGCACTGGCCACAGCCGAGAGCGCCGGGGAGGGTCCCGGTCCATGCTTACTCACCTTCTGTAGCGAGAGCCGCAGGAGGAGGCCGAGGGAGAGAAGAGGCAGAGATGCAGTTGGTTAGCAGTTGGCAGCTCTTCTGACCCCCGTTCCAAGCAGTGGTCTGTGGGGCTGCCTCCCCCCCCCCCCCCACCTGTCTGAGGTCTCTTCCTGGCCAGGCTGCCAGGAAGGTGTGGCAGCATTGCCACAAGGCTGCCTGCCCCTGGGCTAGCAAACCCCCGCCTAGCCCGCAGGTTGGGTGGCTGGTGAAGATGTGGGTTTGGGGTGCCTTGGGCTGGTGACGGGATGCACCTTGGGGCTCTCACCCGGGGAGTCACTCACCACAGTGGCGTCTACTTTGGGGCCGCCGTCATCCGCCACCACCGTCAAGGTGTAGAAGTCGCTTTTCTCCCGGTCCACCAGGCCCTTGACTGTGATCACACCCTGCGGGGAGGGTCCAGATGGGAGAGTGAAACAGTGCACCCACCCACCAGCCTGTCCCACCCCCAAGCAGTTCCCATGCTCTGGCCAAAGCAGACTCCTCACGAACCCCGCCACTCTGCCCGCTGTGCCACCCCACCCTCCCTCTGCCTGGCATAACCATTGCAATCCTGCTGCTCTCAGTTCCACTCAGACACCTCCCCTTCCAGGCAGGCTTCCTGCTTCCCCAGCCGGGCATGACCGCTCTTCTCCGAGCCCCAGAGACACTCCGTTACACCGCACTGCAGTCTGTCCACATCTTCCCGTGGGGGCTCTGACTTGTAGCTTTGACTATTCCTGCTTCTACCTCCAGCCTGAGAATGCTTTGAAGGCTGGGGAGGCTCTTGTTCATCTCTGTGCTCCCAACACGCCCAGGACAAGGCCCTGGGACACTGCAGGGATATTACCATGCCTATTTTCCAAGAAGGGATTCTTATAAAAGACACTGAAACAAAGATAACAAAGGGAGAGCCAGGCAGTAGATGAGAGCTGCACCAGGCACCGAGCTCATACTGGCTATTGCAATGAAGCACCCAATCCATTCTGGAGCTTCCTAACAGCCAAGGCAAAACCGGAAACACGATGGCCCGAATAGCTTTCATTATCTAGCAACAAGGATACCAGGATGCCTAGGTATAAACTTCATCTTACGCCTAAATACCACTAGAAAAGGGAATGTATTTCAGGGATGTTTATCTCAAAGATACTTTATGACCAAGAGGAGCGTGCCATG